GGTGAAATCAATACATAATAGTAAACTAAGAATACATATTTTCATTGAGGTGGCCCCATCATCCATAAGCTGTCAACTGGCAATTTGTCAGCAGAAGGCAAGTAATCTTGTTACTTCAGCTAGTTTTACTTGTTTTTAAGTACAGTAACAAAAACTCTAGGTATTATCATTTTAAACCAGCCAATAAATGTTTCAGAAAAACTAGAGACCAGAACGTGGTCTTGTCAATCTAGCATTATTATTTATTTTATGAAATATGTGAGTTGTTCAGTGCTGCGTTGCAGCACTTAATTTCTTGCCAAAAAACATCATGCCAGAACAAATTTTCAAGCACGTTCCACTTTTAGCACAGAATACAAAAACATGTGTACTGACTTGTAAGTAAAGATTTCACACACATTCAGGCTGTTGCTTTTGATACACAATATATTCTAATAGGAATCATCATAAACTGTTCAGTAAGCATCTCATGGAGTAGTTGATGGAGGTGAAGAATAATTTGTATTTGTTTAATTTCATTTTAAAACATTGCTGAATGGCTCACAGGTTTAAAATATTATAATTTGAAATACTTGTTTTATTTTATTAAAGGGACTGGTTTGCATGAGACACATATAAAGACTATTAAGAGCTAAATAAAAGCCTAAATAGTTAAACCTCTCTCCTGCTTTCTCTCACATTCAGATGGTATTCTATACACATGGAGATGATTGCACATTACTCTTTGGAATAGCAACAGTAATTCTTTTTATTTTTTCATGTTAGCACGAGGTGGTGATTACGGTACGCATTTGAATCTGGGTTCATTTCACATTAAAAACAGAAACTTTATACATTAATTACTTAATGCCACAAAAATTAATTACTATTTTTAAAATGTGTCCATAAAATTTTGCAAATGCCTCGATTTTTTTTGAGAGTGGGGGCAAAAAATATTAAAATTTCCTATACCGCTAAAGCCGGTGGGGGGGGGGAATCCTGGCAGGAGTTAATGTCTTGTACCCTATTGTAAGATAAACATTTAAATTACCAGGTGAAAATCGATACTTTTACATTTCAATTATGACATTCTTAAATCTTTGGTAATTTTCAATTGCACATAGTTGGATACTGTTACTGAGAGTGTCCATTAACAGTTTGCTACCAGTAGGGATCTGATGTAGAATTCTGTCTGCCATTTTCTGAAACTAACTCAAGCTCACAAAAATGCAAAAATTTTGTGCTCTCAGTTTGCTCTTTCGAGCTCTCTAATTAAGTTAAGCTCATGTTTTGGTTATTTGTATGCTTGTCTAAAGAAATCCAACTTGCATTATTTTAGCTCCCAGTAACATTAGGCATGTGTGTACTTTACATTAGTGAATAAAGTAATTCCCATTACTTTATGGACAATAAGAGTAGTCCAACTTCACCTAAAGAGCAAACACGCGAAATGACTCCTCTGCCAACAACATAGGGTGATACAGGATAGCACAAAATTATCCCCAAGTGTTTCACATTTAGATCTATTATATATCAATAAAGGGAAATATAGGGTAGCACTGGCTAATTTTATCACATCCTGGCCTTCCATATTTTCTTTATACAACCTAAGCCTAGTAACAACTTTAAAATAAATTCATAAACCCATGTTACCCATTATTTGTGTTTGTTGCAGTACCTATATCCTTTCCCAGTTTGGTGGTATACCTTTGTTGTACACTTGCACCGACCGTGACCATCTGAATCTACAGACAAATATAGTAGGCCAAGGTACACAGGAGTCTGCACCCACAACTGTGTGGACACACAGTTATAAAGTCTTGTAGTTTTTTTTTCACCTTTTAAGCATTCCAAAGATGTGGGATTTCAATCATGCTTTTACATGAATGTAATAAATTAAAAAAAAATTCCTTTTCCAAGTAATCTTTCTGGCAAAACCCCATTTGTAAAAAAAAATCCAAATTTTTTCCCTGCTGGAAACTCCAAATCCTCAACCACATTCAAATGCTCCACAAATCCAATGTTATTTGTTGGGAAACTTCTTTATTCTTTGTTTATTATTTGTTGCACCTGGATTATGTCATTTCTAACCAGCAGGAGAATCCCAAACACAAGAGTAACAGAGTACATGGAATGATGTTCCTTATTCAGAATACAAAAAATAAATGTATTTTGTTGCAGTTACAGGAAAAATGTTTTCTGACCATTTACCTTGCTACAAAAGTTCTGTTGCCTCTGTCAAATCCTCCTATTATTAATTTATAAACTCAAAATCCCTTTTCCCCACTATGAATACATTACTGCAACCACCTGCTACTGACCTCTCTCCACATTTGAATGAACTGCTCTGCTTTTTAAAACTCTTTCAACAATAAAATTAACACCATCAATCAACCACTTAATGTATTTGCCGGTGTCATTACCGAAGCGTTCTGGCTATCTTACATTACCCCTCCCCTCATTTCCTCTCTCTCAGCTTTTACTGTCCCTTATGATAATGAAGATTGTCAGCTTATCCTTAGATCTAAATCCTCCTGTCAGTTAGATCCCACCCCCACCAGCCTGTTAAAAGGCCCCCTGCCTCCTGTACTACAGTACATCTGCTTACCTCAATTATCAGCCCCCCCCTTACCTCTGGTGTTTTCCATTCCCTGTTAAAAATCGCTGCTGTGACACTACTCCACAAAAAACCTAGCCTTGACCCAGTGGTGGCTTGATGGTTAAGGAAGCGCACTTGTAATTGAAAGATTGCAGGTTCGAATCCCCAACCAGCAAAGCACCACTGAGGTACCCTGAGCAAGGTCCCGCCCCCAAGCACTGCTCCCCGTACGCTGAATTAGCTACCCCCTGCTATGTCACGAAAGTCACATATGGGTCAAATGCAGAGAACATGTTTCGTTGTTGTGTGCTGTGGTGTGTTGACAATGACCACTGATCACCAAATTCAAAATTGATTTCAATGACTATAGACTCGTTTCCAGCATGATAGCTCTACATTGTTTATAATTCAGGCAGTGCTTCCCAGGTGTCTCGCGACTGTAGAGAAAAGGTCCGGCTCTAAAAGAAATTTAATTCTGGGCAAGAAAAAATGCCACAAATATGGAATTATGACCATATGCCCCCCTTCAGATCTGCATATGCTCGTATCAAATGTCTTGGTGTGATTTGGACAGTACATTGTCCTCTAGTTCTAGTGTTATTTGTCCAATTGCCTGTTTCCCTTTACTTAACATTGCCTGGATTCATCATGCCCTCTCAATCCAACACAATCAGGAGCTCGTAAATTATCTGACTACCTCCCAGATTGACTACTGCAATGCCATTCTAGCTGGCAGTCCTAAAAATCTTCTCTACACACTACAAGTCATTCAAAACTCTGCTGCCTGTATCATCACTCAAATTAAATCTAGCAATCGCATCATTCCAACATGCATTCAACTTCATTGACTCCCCATCCCCTACAGGATCGGGTTCCAGATCCCTTTACTTAATTTTAAAGCCCTTTGTAACCTTATTGTAACCTAGTAATATCTGTGACTTCATCTATTCCTGCTCTCCCTCCCTGTCCCTTTGCTCTTCCACTGCACTCCTACTTAATGTTCCTGGCAGGGCTTTCAGCTGTGCTGCGCCTAAATGATGGAATTCCCTCCCTCTCCACATCCGTCAGTTGGAGTCAATTGCAATATTTAAATCACATCTCAAAAGCTTTTTCACACAGCTGACCTTCATTCACCACCTGTTTTGTTTAAACCTGCGCTGTTGCACTGCTATTTTATATTGCTGTTTTATCTGTTTACTATGTTATTCATTTTCTGTTAGGTGACTTTGAATGTCTTGAATGGTACCCTCAAATTCAATGTATTATTATTATCATTATCATTATTATTATTATTATTGAAAAACAAACATAATCAGATTACTAATACATTTAGAAAGAAAACGGTGGTTAGTACCAGGATTAATTATTCAGGATTAACAGCACACATACAACACATCTGTCAAGTCCTCTTTTTCGCATCACCATATGCAGCATAGTGAATATGGTGGGTGTGTGGGTGCGTGTGTTTTGTTGCAATGTCTCTTATACCAGTTTTAATGGTCTAATAATAATGTGTAGAGCCCTATGATTTCTGCAATGCAGAAAACATGGACAAAATTGAGAAATCCAGGTATAAAAATGAAACTGATCTCATGGAATTTAACGGGTTACTGATTAATTTGATCAAAGGCCTTCAAAATGACTGTAAATGCCAGTTATCCACTCTGGAGACGTCTGATCAAGAAAACTAGCTAGCTACCTATGCCTGTTTTTAGAATATTTTTTTCTATTCATATATATTTAATCTTAAATAATGACAACAGCCTTGTTGGTGATGAAGAGCACATGAAATAAAATATAGGTCTAAACAGTGATGTGGTTTTCAAAGATCTATGTACTATCTCCTTTGAAAATACTAAGGCTGCTCTTGTACTGAGCGATGTTACAATGTTTGATGTGTGCCTCCAATTGCTTTCCTAAGGTTATATTATATTGTTCTGTTGTCTTAGAGAATACAGAATACAGAAGTAAAAATAATGTTATTGATATTTCTTTTACCTTGTATTTATGCACATCTGGCATTCAGGAAATCCAAACATAACAGAAAGTAATCAGGGTACAGTATGTTATGTTAAGTATTGTGATTCTGGGATTAGGTTACTTGTAACAGGTATTTGTACCAGAATACATAGGAGGAGACACTATCATGCATAAGAACAATGAAAAGGTTCCTTAAAAATACATCCTTATAGACTACATATTCCAAGAGAATCTTCTATAGATTTTTCTATATAACATCTTTTCTATATAAAATCTATAAATTTTTATGACATTTGTTTGGATTCTGGTAATAAGAGGTACAGTGTTAAAGGTCAAGGTGATTTATTGCTGTTTCCATGCTTTCCCTATAATTACAAGGGAATGCAAAGCAGACATTCAGGCAGACAGCCTACAAATATGGCAAAGACAGCAGTGCACCCACCTCCTCATCCACCCCCACCCACAGTTCACAAAAAACATTCCCACACGAGCAACACTCTGAATTCCTTCAGGAAACAGCTGGCTTAGACACCTGGAGGGATGGAGATCAAAGTTAACACAAGCATGGGGCAACAATGGATCCTAGAACTCAGTATTACTTACTTCAGAATATACAAATATATGCATGCACTAGGGCTGCTTGAATAATCAGTATTATTTTGGTAAATATTAACATGATGACTCATTGACTTTGGACATGTTGTGCATTTACTGAACTTTAAAAAACACTTTTTAAAAGTGGATTTCCTTGAAATCTAAATGAAATTCAACTGAGTAACAAATAAAAATGGGCTGGAAAGGGCTGCTCTGGATTTATAACACAAGACAATATTCGTTGCAACATTGCAGTGCAATCTTGCAAAAAAGAAATGCGTCACAATAATTGTTTTATCTCCATTTTGTTTTGATAATCACTGGAAGCAAAAATCATAGTTGAGATTAAAATTTGATTAATTGTCCAGTCCTAGTGTATACATACAGTACACATACACATAAAGAGTACACAACTAGGGGATTAAATTGTGATGAAGATATTACTGTTCTAGTTTATGATGCTTTTAGGACTTAAAAGAATCCATGAGAAATTCCATCATAGAGGTGGTTCTGTATGACTGGGTATTTTCCATTTTGTATATTAAATATAATGCACATTACAAAACAACTTGTTTAGTAGTGATATAGTATAAGCATTAAAAACATTTCAGAAGTGGCCATCTCAGCATTTTGGAATGATCTAATCACACCAGTAACCTGTGATTTTGTTTAGACCTACTAGGTTAGCAAATGTGGTGTATTCTGTATGATTTATGAATGAGTCATGTAGCAGAGGGAGTAAAACTCATGAGTAATGACTTTTATGTAGTGAACTCCATAATACTGATACTTGAAAAGTAGAACTTATTTCAACCAAGGATTTGAGAAACTGGACGAAAAGGCTGAAAGTTTGTTACCCCACTTTTTTAAAAACAAACAAATCTTTAGTAACATTATGGAAAGGAGCAAAGATAATTTAAAAAATTATCATTTTGCTAAAAGATATTTATAAACACATATTCAATAAACAGTAATAAGCACAAACAGTTAAACGGTCTAAATAATTTAACAAATTATCGACATATATGAAGTTCATTTATGAAAAGGTACTTATATATCATTTACATCATTCTAAGTACTGTATAATGCATTTTTTAGCTTGAAGCAAAACTTAAAACATGCTGTATATTTCACCACTTAAGACACGTTTAAGACTTTTTACCTTCAGTATCACCAGGGTCTGCTGTGTTCCAGTGGAAGATAAGGAAGGTAGAGAAAACAATATTGGAATAGAGCAGAGAAGTAAAATAGTACCTCACGAGTCGGCAAAATGGAGCATAAACAGAGATCCTAAAAAGAAAGTGTCGCTTCCATAAAGGCTTCCAAGGGACAGAGGTGGAGTTCACCAGCAGGAATCGTTTCTTGCTGTGACTAAATTCATTACCTGTCTTCACTGTACCTTTTCTTCTCCTAAAACCCCGCCTTTCCTACAGTCATAGTGAATTAACCCCTTTCGACATGGTAGATTTCACACCAAAGTTTATCGAAAATGATATGGAAATAATATACCTCAAGTCAAACATTTAAACTGTTTTAATTTGGTATGTGCAAGCAATGGCCAATATGGGCTGAATGAAACTGAAAATAAGTATTCTTTGATACTAAATAATACACTATTAAAACATACTGCAAGTACAAAGATTAAGACTAGAGTCACTAAAAAGACATGGGAAGCATTTTTTTTTTAAATTTGTGTGAATTTTAAGTATTTATGAGATTTCTAAAAATAGAAGGAAATTGTGACTTGTGATTTATCATAGTAGATCAGTGTTTATTAAACCATAATACAACTTCTTCTATAACAATACAAATGTCGTGTATAGTATATAATAATATGACACATTTTTTTAACACAGGGATTCCTGAAGCTAATTAAAATTTCTCTGAATTTCTACTTGCAGCTTGCAATAAACTGGATAATAAATTAAACTTGTTGTAAAGAGTAAAATTTAGCATCTTGTGAATTCCCATGAGTATCCCAGCCCCCTTTCACACAGAACACAAAAGCAGATACATTGCCTGACCCAAAAAGAGTCACAGTTTGAATTTAAATCAGCAAGTACTTATGAGCCAATGTTTGTATCATTATTACAGCTCAGCTATGTTAGGCAGCACTGAAGTGAAGTCAGCTAAATGGCCAGATTATTTTACCAATGGATTTTTTCTTCCCTCATGGAATAGGCATATTCCAGGACGATAGTGACAAGGTTTACTGGGCTCGAATTGTGAAAGAGTGGTTCAGGGAGCAGGAGTAATCATTTTCACAATGAATTGGCCACCACAGGCTTGACCTTAACCCAATTGAAAGTCTTTGGGATGTGCTGAAGAAGACTTTGTAGAGTGGTTCAACTCATTTTTGTATTTATAGCTTTATTTTAGGAGATAAAAATGTATGTTTTGACAAAAACAAACCACCTTTGCCCAAAATAAATGGGCCTTGCTTAGTTATCCAACAGATATTTTCCTTGGAAAAATAAAGAAGACAACTTCAGCTCCATCATAATCTCATGGGACCACCGTTGTATATGCGGCCCACTGTTGACAGAAACATCATCATGCAGAACATGACTGTATATTGTTTTATTTGAGCGGGGGGTGAAGTTTTGCTTTAAGTTGCAGTCTTTGTATACATACTCAATGAACTCTGCAGAATGTAAGTAATTTAAAGATTTCACCCAATTTTGAAAAGGTAAAAAACACAATGCATACTATAGATTAAAGAAGTTAAAAGGCCTGGGATCTGGAGACCTTCACTACCTTATCTGGTTTCTGGAGACAAGGTATTTGGAAGGGGTTAAGTGCAACAGTGTCATCTCTGGATATGGTCACAATAGCAATGTCTGGGGACAGGTGGTGGTCTATAATCTCAGGGCTGGATGGCAAAGGGAGAAGGGAGAGAGCAAAACAATGATTAGGTTTTGTTTTTATTGCATGTTTATTGTATGAACAATTGAAGTACAGTTTGATGAGGACAATACAGACTAACCCATAGGACAATAGAAGAAGATGCAAAACAGAAGATAAATGCATCCAAGAGAGAATCTGAAAGACTTATTGCAAAGTCATGACTCTGCACACCTGTCTGTCACACATGCAACACTCACTTCATGAATGCATATGAACATAGGCAGATCTTATGCAGAATCCTTCAGTAAGACAGGAGTTCAGATTAACAAGTGTTGCTCATTCTAATTAACCTGTAATTTAATCTTAATAAGAAAACAAGAACATAACCAGTATCTTGAAGAAGTACAACCCAAGAAAGTGTAGCAGAGAAAGGTCAACAAAATACAACTACAACAAGCTTCAAAGTCAGGAGCAGTATTGAGTTTCACATGGAGCCACAGACAGGCACATTAACATGGTCAGGCTACTATTTTCTACGATGGTGTAGTTCTTGACTGGGGGGGGGGGGTGTGTTAAAATTATATTGAAGATGGTTAGTTGAGGCCCCCTTTTTAGCGGATGCTCAGGTAAGCCCATGCATTAAAGCATCCCTGATTCCACAGCAATTCAGTGTGAGTAGGTAAGTACGGGGCTGATATCATCATTAATTTCCATTGTAGGAAGATCACTAGCCACTATTTTGTACAAGGAAAGAATTTAAAAGTGATGCTTTTATAGGCTGGAGTGGTAGCTCTCAGGCTAGGGATCTGTGCCAGTAGCTGGAAGGTTACTGGTTTGAATCCTGTCAATTCTTGGAGTGATTCTACTTTGTTGGGCCCATATGCAAGGTCCTTAACCTGCAATTGCTTTGTCATTGATATGAAGTTAATCTACATCCAGCCCTATAAGGAGGTTCTCCAACTTACAGGAGAAAACATTGGGGTTGGTGGCAGGACTGGCACTCCAGCTACTGGAAAAAACCTCACACTGGTCCATTTGGACTAGTGTGGTGCTGAGGTATCACCTGCCACATGGCTGCGCGTGGCTCCTCCTTTACAATAGCTGCTTAATGTTTTACACAAGCTTAACAATAAACTAATGAAGACCAACTCTGCTGCAGCATACAGAGACTGTATCTGGTTAAGTAAGGGATTCAGAAAGTATTCGGTCCCCTTCACTTACAGTGGATATATAAGTGTACACACCCTTGTTAAAATGCCTGGTTTTTGTGATTTAAAAAAATGAGACCACAATAAATCATTTAAAAACTTTTCCCACTTTTAGTGTGACCTATAACCTGTACAATTCAATTTAAACACAAACTTGTTAGGGGGAAAATATAAATAATAAAAAAACATACAATAAACTGGTTGCATAAATGTACACACTCATAAATTTTTTATTTCATTACAGCATTCAGTGTTTTTGGGTAGGAGTATCAGCATGCCACAATATTTAGACCTATTAAATATGCTCTTGGCAATATTTGCCCACTCTTCCATGCAAAGCCGCTTCAAATGTGTCAGATTGCAAGAGCATCTCTTGCACACAGCCTTCTTCAGGGTCACCCCACAGGTCTGGGCTCTGGCTGGGCCATTCCAACAATTTAATTTTCTTCTTGTGAAGTCATTCTTTTGTTGATTAGGATGTTTGCTTGGGGTCATCGGTATGCTGAAAGGTGAAACATTGTCCGATATTGCATATTGTATATTGTCTTATGCTAAAATTGAAAAAAAAAAATTCTTCCTTATCAATGTGCACTGAATACAGTGTAATGACAAGGCGAAAACAGAATTTTAGATTTTTTTGCAATTTTATTGAAAATAAAAAATTTAAACATATTTACTTAAGTATTTAGGCCCTTTACTATGACACTTGAAATTTAGCTGAGCTGCTTCCCATTTTTATAACATTTTTGATATGTTTCTACACCTTGTTTGTAGTCTACCTACAGTTAATTCAATTGATTGGTTATGATTTGGAAAGGTGCACAACTGTATATACTGTATAATAGCCTCACAGCTGACAATATAAATCAGAGCAAAAACCAAGCCATGAATTGCCGGCAGAGTTCACAGACAATGATTGTGCTGAGCCACAGCTCTGGGAAACACTACAATTGTTTGTAGAGCACAGTGACAGTAATTCTTAAATGGAAGAAGTTGTTCCAAGACCCTTCTTAGAGCTGGCCTCCTAACCAAAGGGCCTTAGCAAGAGAGGTGAGCAAGAACCTGATGATCACTCTGGCTGAGCTCCAGAGATCCTGTGTGGAGATGGGATTAACTTCCAGAAGGACAACCGTCGCTGCAGCACTACCCCAATCTGGGCTCAGCAAAGGCCTTATTTTTGCATATGACCAGGACAGAGGTGGAGGAGATGCTTCTACCCCCCAGGCCACTAGGACCATGAACACCACCAATCATAATAAGCTATTACTGCAACCTGCACTGTAAAAAGTTTCTCCGATTTAGGTTTTTATAGAAAAAACTTTAAAGAAAAACACAATATAGTGTGGCGACGGGCGGACCGAGGCATCATGGGAGCAGAGAGACATGGAGACTTGCTTGCCGGGGAAATCACGCTCTTTATTAACGGTCCTTAACCCTTGTATTTTTGTTGTTGTTAATGTTAATGTTTGCATTTCCCTATTGTCACGCTTGTGTTTGCCTGTGTCTTGTGTGTACCCGGTCCAATCCTCGTGTATTTATCGTGTGTAAATCTTCCACCGTGTGTGCATCTTGCAGTTTTGCGCCTGACAACCTTCTGTTTGCCGTCTGTGTATTTGGGTTCGGTGCTCGTTGGTCGCCTGTTGTGGTCCTCTTATTTACAATTGCATGTGGGGCATGCTGGGATATGCTGGGGCATGCTGGGACATGTGCCCCGTCGGTGCTACATTAGTATAAAAAATCTGCTCGTCAACCAAATTTTGTATGCGAACCAATGCATTTTTTTCACTAAATTTTTGGTCGCAAACCAAATTGTTCGTAGACCACAGCATTCCTGAACCGCAGGCACCACTGTATATACTTTTTATATATTTCTATATGATAGCACTTATTTTGTTAACTTAGGTTATTCAATTTGGTTATCCTTCTATCTTGTTTATTGCACAGTCTGGAGTAGCAGCAATTTGGTGTACCACGTTCATACACTCTGAATACACAGTGTTAAATATAAGCAGATGCTAATTATAACTCCTCCCAAAGTGACACATGACACCTCCAGCCGTAACACATTGGGAAAGCATCCCATCTTTGCTATTTTCCAGCACTTAAAATCTGAGTGTGTGTGTGTGTGTCTGTATGCATGTAGGTGTGTGTGCACGTGTCTGTATGTCTGCGTGTGTGTGCGTGTGTGTAAGCCATTTATGAATCATTTCTGAGTATATATGACTGAAGAAACCTAAGTTCAGAAGAACCTACATCATCATCTATAATGTTAGTGACCCAAGCTCCTAGGTTAATTTGACTA